TTTAATATATTATATTATATTATATTATATTATAATATGTTACTTGTTGTTAAGATAATTATAACCAAACGCATCAAAATTGGTAGTTAACTCAGAAGTATGTAACTCGATCGTATAAGTACACTACGATATTACTATTGTTATTGCGGCAATGCAACTGTGTAATTAGCACTAAGTTCCGTAAATTAACGTTAATTATGATTATGCAAGCTGTAACAAGTATCGGTAGCGCGTTAGTATTTTTCGCTTTTCACGTCAATTTTGTCGTCGATCGATGTGTCTCTTTCCGATAATATTAACGCGTAATGCAGCCTAATTGCTGTCTCTGTATCAATATAATCCGATTATTATTGCCGCGCAAAAATATCCCTCCCGGTTGTTTTATTACGCATGTGAACAGTATAGGTTTATTTCATTATTTTATTATTTTATTAGAAGAAAAATCTTTTTAGGCAACATGCATTTCATAACTCGACGAAATAAACTTTAAAAAGAGATTAAAGATGATAAGATTTGATATTTCGCTCATTTTATGTCGAGAGTCTCTCAAAGATGTAATTTAAAATTTAGAAAGTATTTAGTTATAAAAATCCAAAATAATTATTTGCCATAGAAAATGTCAATATTATATAAAGATTTGATTTCGTTTTAATTTCGTCGAAGTAAACTTTAAAATAGAATGATAAAATTTCATATTTCACTTTACAGAAGAATCTCTTAAAATTGTAATTTGAAATTTAAATATTTAATAATAAAACGTTTTTTAAATCTAAATTCGCGCCAGGAAATGTCAATATTATACAAAGACATTCCAGTTAATATCTCCGATATTATTTCTGGGACTTTATTGCTCGCTTTATAACCGATTAACTGACATATATGTGTATGAAAATCTTCGCATTTTAATGGCCTACAATTTTTCATTTTGTACTAATATTCAATTTCCAACTCCTTGTTATGTCGTGCATTACATTTGGAGCTTTACTCGCGTCTTATAGCGAATTTATTACATGAGAAATGTGCGTCATTCGAACGAAACGATTTTCAGGATGTTGTCCAGACATTCCTTGCTTTTACTCTCGTGGAAACTCATTTGAAAAGCGCATTCCGCTTTTGCGGTAATAATAATGTTGCTCCTTGGCCATTTATTCCCTTTTTAACATTCTGCATTCGTACACTATGTTATGTTAACTACGTCTAAGCTTCGATTCTTCCTCCTTTAAATAAGAGCGACAAATATGAGTTGGAAACGAATTTATTACAACAGTTGAATAAAAAAAAGAAGTATAAAATAAATTCTTCTTAGTTTGAGAAACAAAGGGACTCGTGGAAGAGTGGTGAATGTGAAAGCCAGCTGCTTTATTGTTAAGTTCATTTTCTGTAGTTATAAGCAGAGTGATTATAAAGAAGTTCCTTAAGAAGCGCAAAGAAAATAATTGTAAATTTTACATAACGCTGCAAAAGAACACTCTATGAGGAAATATAAAAAAAATTGCTCGATATTTTCCCGAAAGTGAAATAAAACATTTTTCGATAGTATATTTCGAGAGAAAAAACTGACAATTTTCTTCCTAGTGGAAGCTTGACTCTGCGTTAAGCACTCTTGTATATCTCGTGCAATAAATTTCAGCATAAGTCCTTCCTATGTTACTCGGCGTAGCCCATGAGTCCCCATTTCTTCCAGTTTATTTGCTTCTATACACACTGCGTTTTATATTGCATATAGTCTCTTTTATAGTGAGTCGCGAACGATAGAATCATTATTACACTGCTTTACTAGCATTTTAGTGGAGAATTCTGCCAGCAGAAATATCATTTCATTCCAATAATCGACTCGGAGTCGTCTTTAACAATCGGTTTCAGAAACACATTTTCTACATTTACGCATTCTTTTATACTTTACGCAATAAGCAATAAAAAAAACATTATTGAGTTTATGAAGGAAAAAACACTTGTGTATCAAGTATCAATATAATCACATTACAATATACATTACGATAAATTAGAAAAAGATGATGATAGGTAATAAATAAATTTATATGTTAAACATAGATTTAATATCGTGCTATTGCAATAGTAATATACTTATTCCTAATACGACATCAATTTGTTTTCCTATTTATTAAGCTAATTCTATTGACGCAAATTAAGCTATTTCTACTGACGCAAATTGTTTAATACATCACAAAGAAAGAGATTTAATGAATATGAGGGCGGAATAAATTATAATTTTTGGATAAGTCGAGAATTTTTATTTGCACTTTTATCATCTCTTTGCGAGAGACATCCCAGTGAAAATTCGCCCACGACCGTTTACTCTCGCGCGGTTTGCATTAAGGGGCGACGTCGGCAGCCGTACATGCAGCCTGCTTACGCGTCGCTTTATTCGCATTTTAGTTTGCGTATCCTGCCAACGCGGTTATGAGATCAAATGTTTCCCGTGAAATTATATACGCTAACACTGGCAAAAGGCGGCGATATCGTTTCATTGCTCGTAAACACTACCTCCGCAATAACTTGCACTCACTGTTATTTAACTAATAAATTGCAGTTAAAAATGAAAAGCTTTACTTAGAATTTGCGATGGACGAAGTTACATTAATTACACGTGTATTAAACTACATGTTCGCGAAATAGCTTCGTCTAACCGCCCCTGCATGGATTCAACGGACTTATATAAATATCATAAAGTTACGACCACGACATAACGTCGGATTTTCATATATCTCACGTTTATGAAAGTAAATATATGCGTTTGCATCTCTTCTATATTGCACATTAATAAGGAGAACGGGGTGATGGAGAAGAGAGAAGATAAATGATTCATATAAAAATAACTAAATGCGTCTGCGTTAATTACATTTCTCTGCTTTCATAAATTATTTTTACTTAAAATAATGGTGCACAAACATGTTTTCCATAAAAAAAAGAAGCTTCAAATAATGAATAATATTCAACTCAAATATATCTGCTCAATTTTTTAATCTATATTGTAGTTTCTAATTCTTAAACTTAAACAATTAAACATCGTTTATTCGTGTTATTTTGACATTTATATAAGTAAGCAAAACTTACCTGGAAGACAACTCACTGCTTTCTCTTCGTCGGAGCACTTTTGCGTCAACCACAAGTAGTCGAACCACTTGATAACTTTAACTTGCAAATGATTCGGTACTCTCCTCATCCGCATGTAAGTCTTCACGCCGTCCAACTTTGCTGCAACAATCAATTTTTATTATTAGTAGAATATATATTTTCAAATGACAATAAAGTAACAATTGTTTATAGATTGCCGCGACAATTCTAATTGTTCTAATTACATTTCTTAATGTTGCTACGTTAACATGCAACATCTGACACATATTCGCTTACGCTGTAAATGTGATATTAATTATCCTAGCTAATTATGTATATGATACCGTTTCCGGTAATGTATAACGTTTCCGATTCAAGTTAATTATCATTTAAGCATTGAAAATCTCGTGTGAAACCGGCGTCCTATTTGTTAATTCGAGAATGTGATAATACGTCATTATACAAATGAAATGTTCGATGATTATTAATCATCGCAGTCAATATTGGCGATTAAAGTTGATAAAATTATATATAGCTCTTGCGTGAGTACGCAAACTGAATGATTTAACGAATGCGTTATGAATGTAGGATTTGACTAGTCAAAGAATTAAATTTTTTATGATTGGTTTACGATTTGGAATCGTAATAAAATCAGTTCAATATCGATTATTATCGAGATATACTTTCCGTCCACTCTGGAAACTCTTTTCATTATTTCTACATTATTGAATCAATTATACTAATTGTTATTATAAATTGACAATATGTATATCGGTATAAGTTAATAGAGAAAGTTTTCTCTGGCGTACTTATATTTCTCGCAGGCAATTTTTGAAGGCAAAGACCATATTGCCTTAGTTATCAGTTAATTGAAACGAATGAAGACAAAAAGAATTCTCTCTCGCGCAGTTTCCATTTTTTCCTCATCTCTCCGATGAGGAAAGTATCGATGGGCTTGGTTAATATCACGATTGTGGCATATCTGTCGTGCAATCGCTACACAGGTCGCAGATCAATAGTAATGCAGCGAAATGGAAAACTAAGATATGGCTACAATTTTATGGAGATTCATTTCGATGCTATGTATTCATACGAGTGTGATATTCAATTGTTGAGATAGAATTGAAAATATCTCATCAGAACATCGCTGAATATTAACAGGTAAAAGATATAATGTCCAATATTGGAAGAGATGTAGATTTCTTAGATTCCTGAGATTTCCCTCGAAAGAGATTTAAATCTTTCTATTAGATGCTAAGTCAATTCAATCCAGAATATAATATCTCAATAAATACATTTAAAAAATTAATATATTACGCACGCACGCACGTACGCACACACACACACACACACACACACACGCGCGCGCGCGCGCGCACGCACGCACACTATTAAACACTTTTAATGAATTAAATACGTCATACAGTTTTAATAAAATGTTATTTTAATATTATTACTCTGATGAATTAATAAGATTTGTTTTTAATTAGATTAATGCTGTGTAGATTAATACAGCATTTTTTCTCTATACATTTATTTTAATTAGACTTATTAGACTTATTAGAGACATAATTTTTGGGTAATTTAATTATTAATGCTTCTCATGCATACAAACATTTGTGCTGAATGTATATAATAATAAGTAAAATAAAATAAGAAATGCGAGGAATTGCGTAAGGAATGCTCATACGTGCCAAGATATTTTGATGACAGAATATAATTTTGCAAGTACTTCTACGACATACTTAAAGAAACGTGAAGCGTGCACGTAGTAATTTTAGCTAAACTTCTTAATAGCGTTGAGTAAATGTTTCGACGATTTTGCTACACAAAGCAAAATATATTCGTATCGAGTTATGTGAAAACTCAGTATAAATAGTATAAATTTGTAACGCCGACGCAATATGAACATTTGAAAGTACGTAAAAGTAAAAATGTAGGAGAATTATGCTCAGATTTCAACGCAGATTCGTCTCGCGTCGCGGAGAGAAGACATTATTACTAGATTCATGTCGCTCGTGTCCGTTACATTCAGAGAATCTATAAATATGGATTATGAAGAATGCGTATCAAGAAATGAAACGTCAAACTGTCTCCGAATGCCAATTGCTACCCAAGATATTCAATCGATATTCAATCGAGAAGGCAAGGAGCAATGGGACCAATGAAGAGGATATTTCTTTGTTAAATTACCTATCGATGAATATATTGAAAATGCACATCTTCTTGCATCAATCATACTTTAAAGAGTTCTATTTGAAAAAATTAATCTCTTATGCAGTTTGTCGAATATTAATTAATGTTATTTTTAATCTTTATAGCCTTTACGTATGTTTATATTTTACACATTAAAAGTAAATTCCGTTACTTAATTATAGATCCCACTTTGCATTAAATTAAATAATCTTTACATAAAATTAGATATCATGTGGATTTTATAAGATGCACAATTTTCTGCTTTTCCTGAGACTCTTACGTTTTTAAATTTCGCTGCGTTTTTTTTTTATTTTGGATGCTCAAATGTTAATGCATAACGCGGCTTGAGAGTCCGCAGTGCGGAGTTCACTGCAGCGATCTAATTTTGTCGTATGGATACCGAGCAACGGGATAGTCGTCGTTTCGAGGTTCCATCGCCGATCTATCCCGATATATCCACGAATGATCAATTCTGCAGATACTTCTCGGACTCGATCCAGACAGGATTCCTCCCGCGAACGGATCGACAAGCGCAATCCGGAATTGGCCGAAAATGGGTATAACGGGGACGCCGCCGGCCTGGCTTCGCTTCGTCTGACTGACAAGGAAGAGGGGTGGTTTCTATCGGAAATGGGCTTCCGACCGACCGACAGCCGTGCCCATTTCGCCGGCGCAATTTAACTTACTCCCGCTCTTTTCGCGCTTCTATCGCGCGGCCTCACGTCTCGTCGCCAGGATTCGCCGCCGGTTAGCGATTCGAAGGAATGGGCCGATATTGATAATATACAGCAGAACGGTCCGATTCGGCCGACGCAGCGCGATCAAAGGAAGTGAGAAGATCCTTGGCCGCGATCCAGCCAGCACCCGCTGCATCTCTGATCATTTTTCCAACGAGTTCATCGAACCGCGTTTGAATACGGACGTCGAGTTCGCAAGAAGCACCGATGGAAATGCAAAGCTACGCTCGGAAGGATGATGTCCTTTTTGGAACATTTTTGCGCATGCAGTAATATACGAGATGGTCGAGATATACAGGGTGATAGTCAAGTACTCTAGAATTTTAGGGGATAATTCCTCATATTAATTTAAGACAAAAATTTCATATGATCATGTGTCTAATTTTCAAAGATATAGGATGTCAAAATTGAAGGAAAAATTTTCTTCCAAAAATTTCGAAAACTACTTGAGTTGTTTTGATAGAACATTTGATAAAAAGTAAAATAATTCTATTGGTTTTTGAAATTTATTTTGAATATGTATAAAGTTGTATAAAGTTTTTACCTTGATTTAGTATTTGGTTGCTACACACAACACACATCCAATTAGTGGAATCATCTCTTAAAATCTTTTAGAATACTTAACTACCACCCTATATATTTCCTCTATAACAGGCTTTCAAACTCATGCAATGTCGGTGGATTCACTTCTTGATGTTACAAGTGCAGAGAAATATAGCTCACATTATTATCCTTTTTTTTTTAGCTACGTGAAAAAATTATAGAAATTTTTTCACTAAAATTGAAAAGATTTGAATATCATTAATTCTTCGATAAATTTTATCGAGGTTTTCTTTTTTGATATATTATTTTTATATTTTATTTAACGTGTCATTTATGGAAAAATTTGTGCAAATTTGTATTTTAAATATAATTATTCTCTTATATATTTATTATTCTCAATATAATAATTTCTTTTCTAGAATTATTATAATATAATAAAATAAGTATATAATATAATATTAATATTATATTATAATGTAATAGTTTATAATATCAATTTCTAGTCACTAAGTTTTAAAGCGAAATGTCTAACGCTTTAATACTCAGGCTCTGGAATGTTCGTGTTTCTCCTCAGTGATCTCGAAGAAATAAAGAGACGATGTTAAGTACGAAAGTGAGAAACGCACGTGCGTCAATGCAGGAACGAACGTAAAACTCTACTGCACTACCGTTAGTTAACGACGGAACTTTTGGATGTTTTAAGGGTTAATGGAGGGCATTTGCGGCCTGGTGCCAGTACCGAGATCAAAGCGATAATTTCTGGCTCGTTTCCAACTCCAACTTGATAGAAGGTAAGTCACGTTTATTTCGCGCCAAAGAGACTCGGTTTTACAACGACAAATAGTAGGATGTACTTCGAGAATGATCGTACTACTGGAAAAGAATTTAAGTGGATTCTATTATCTCTTCATAGACATCGTAAAAGTTTCATGGCACTTTATCATCCTGCGAGCGGGAGATCAAACTTTGAAGCTTCGGGAAAAGTTAATTTTCAATTTGCCGAGAAATCGACATGTTAAAATATTAAGCAGCGAGACATCTATTGACGGTTTAGCTCCGTGAGAATGAGAGTATATAAACGACACAAGCAATTCGTCTTCTTCCTCTCAAAAAATTTGTGATGGCTTAGCTTGAAAAATCACTGTTTTCTCTTTCGGACGGTTCTGGTCGTCAGCTTCGATCCTTAAACGACACGCCGACATTGTCTGTCCGAAGGCGCAACCTGAAACTGACAGTCGCAGACGAGACTCCTCGAAGATCGATGGATCCTCGAGACGCGGTCTTAACGACCTTGTTCTATGTTACCGATAGCTTCTACCGGAACGTCGTTACTTTCCTTTCAGTCCACTCGATCAAGGCACTCCCCCTAATGAATGGTGTCTGTAAATAGTTTGCACGTAATAAAAGTAAAGACTGTCCGCGCTGTTCTTATAAATCATTGCCAGCGACGGAAAAATGTGACCGTTATTATTCCTACAGTTATCTCTGCAGAACGAAAATTCCATTCGGTCTGTGTATTTTGTCACGATACTATTTTTGAATCCCTCTCTTTTTTTCCCCCATTCACCATATCATCCAGCACCGCACCTTTTTGTACGCAGGAATACCTTTTTGTTCAAAAATACGACCGTTACACGGATTTCGTTGAAGTTTGCGTACGATCGA